TACATTTGAACACATAGGCACAGAAGGCCACTTCCTAAATAGAACACCAGTAGCACAGGCTTAGAGCAACAATTAATAAACGGGACCTCCCAAAACTGAGACACTTCTCTAAAGCAAATTAACACAGTCAAGAAGCCAAAACAGCTCCCTACAGAATGGGAAAAGATCTTTACCAACCCCACATCTGACAGAGGGCTGATTTCCAAATTATACAAAGAACTCAAGAAACCAGACATCAAACTACTAAATAATCCAACTAAAAAATGGTATATAAATCTAAACAGAGACTTTTCAACAGAACAATCTCAAATAGTGGAAAGACAGTTAAAGAAATGCTCATCATCCTTAGTCATCAGAGAAATGCAAATTCTTATACCGATCAGAGGGCTAAGATCAAAAATATCACAGAATCAACTGACTCAAGCTAGTGAGAGATCACTGACTTCAGGTCTGACAAATGGGGAATCTGCATGAGACTGAACTACACAACTGGTGACAATGGTGTGTCTGGGACAATATATGAGGCCATTGGCAGTGAGTTCAAGATCTAACACTAATGCACAAACTGACTTAGTGGAGCCCATTCTATATGGAGAGATACCTTGTCCAGACACAGGGGTGTGGGGATGGAGAGATGCCTTGGTCCTGCCTCAATGAGATGATGAGACAAACTTAATAGACTTCCTAGGGAAGGCCTTACCCTCTCTAAAGAGCAGATGGGGAATTGGGGGGTGGGGTGGGAAGAGCAGGAGGAGAGGAGGGAGGGAAACTGGGATTAGAATGTAGAAAATGAATTAATAAAACAATGTTAAAAAGAAAAGTTAAATGAGCCGTGCATGGTGGTGCACACCTTTGATATCAGCACTGGGGAGGCAGAGACTGGTACATCTTTGTGAGTTTGAGGCCAGACAGACAGTCTACACAGCAAGTTCCAGGTCTCCCAAGGCTACATATACACAGTCAGATCTTATTTTAAAAACAAAACAAACAAATGAAATAAAAAACATGTAAAGGTGAAGAAATGTAGGAATTGTAGACATGGCATCACAGTTTGACACAATACCTTACAAGTATGACCCAAGGAGAAAATGAGTTGCTGCATACTGAAGAGAGAGGAAACCTGAGAACTGAAACTAAGGGTTGACTTCATCATCAGAATTAACTAGAAAGCCAGTTGGGGGGTCACAATAGAAAACCATCTTGCTTAAAGCATCAGAGAATGAGGTACTGAAAATTTTAAAGCCAGAAAAGAAGAAAAGAAGAAGAGAAGGAGGAGGAAGAGGAGGAGGAGGAGGAGGAGGAGGAGAAGAATCCAGAGTTTAACATTTTCAGATTTTTGTCTAGGGCCAGTGGCTAATCAAGGAAGGGATGGTTGATGGAAAACAGTTTAGTGCTGTTTAACACAATGCCTAGAGCAAGAACTAAAGGATACAAACTACCGTTCAGAGTCCTAAAGAGGAGTAAAGGATTGGGGCTTTAGAGGACCACATGCTAGAAGGAGAAAACATTGAGAGCAAATAGACCAGCCTTGGTCTAAAGAACATGCTTCAAATCAGCTAGATCCTTGACTGAATTAAGTCAAGATTGCTAGTGTCCTGACCACTGTAAGACTCTAGAGGAAGACAGTTTCTCCATCTCAGTTCATCCTAAATACCTATATGTAAGGTTCAGCTCCCATTTAAAAAATAACCGGCCAGTACAATGACAAAAATATATGTATTTTTTTTTTTTTAAAGAGCAACATCAGACAATACAAATAGTTCCATACTTATAGGGAAACCCAGAAAATGGAGCAGATTTTCAAACTTGAACTACGCTTAGTATATTAAAAACAAAAAAGATAAGGATTTTTCATCAAATCATAGAAGACATAAAGTCAGACCCAAAGGAAATCATAAACAAACCCAAAACGCTTCAATCTATGAACTCCATGACTGATTTAACAGGATACAGGGTCCATCAAAATAAAGGCCTATGGCTGGGGAGATAGATGGCTGTGCAGGTGAAGTCCTTGCTGTGTAAACATGAGGACCTGAGTTTTGATCCTTAGCACTTATGTTCCTGTAATCCCAGAGATGGGGACACAGGAGGTTCCCAGGGTCTTCTGAGCCAGAAGTCTAGCCTAATGGGCTAGCTCCAGGTTCAGTAAGAGACCCTGTCTCAAAAAATAAAGTGAGAGTCATAAAGGAAGACATCTGAGCTTGACCTCTGGCCTCTAGACAGACAGACAGACAGACAGACAGACACACACTCACTCTCTCTCTCTCTCTCTCTCTCTCTCTCTCTCTCTCTCTCTCTCTCTCTCTCACTCACTCATGAGAACCCTGCCTTAGCCAGGTGGGATTGCTAAGCCTATAACCAGTACTTGGGAGGCTGAGGTAAGAGGATCTTGAGTTTGAAGTTAGCCTAGGCAATTAATTTATCAAGACTGTCTCACAAAGACAAAAAGACAAAAAAAACAAAGAGAGGGGAATATGTAAAGAGACAACAAAGCCAGGCGTGGTGGTGCATTCCTTTAACCCTAGCATTCAGGGAGGCAGATGCAGGTGGATCTCTGTGAGTTCAAGGTTAGCCTGGCCTACAAAATGATTTCCATGATACATAGGTCAGTTACACAGAGAAAGCCTGTCTTAAAAAACGCAGAGAGAGGGAAAGGGACAAGAGAAGAGGAAGGGAGGGAGACAGACAGACAACAAGCAGAAGAAATATTCTAAGGAAAAAAAAGATTGAAAATTTTCTGAAATTCATTAAAGGCACCAAACCCAGAATAATACAAAGAAAACCATAGGAGGCCTAAAAACAGTTCACAACTCAAAACAAACAATCAGAAAAACAGTGAAAGCAGACAGCAGGAGGTGGAGGGAGGAAGACATTCTTAGGCAAGAATAAGTCAAGGATGATTGAAATTATCAAAAATAAAGCAAAACAACAACAAAAACCTATCAGAAAGTCAGGAAAAACTTAGGTCTCTTGATGTTAAGACCTACATATCTCTTGGCAATCAAAGAGTAGGTATTTTTTAGAGTTCAAAGCACATTAAGAGTCTGACAGTGGTGGCAGTGGTGCACCCCTTTAATCCCAGCACTAGGGAGGCAGAGGCAGGCAGATCTCTGTGACTTTGAGGCCAGCCTGGTCTACAGAGCCAGTTCTAGGACAGCCAAGGATACACAGAGAAACCCTGTCTCGAAAAACTAAAAACCAAACCAAACCAAACCAACCAACCAACCAAAAACCCCAAAAGATAATGCTTCTTAGTTTAATATAGAGGTTCTCAACCTGTGGACCATTACTCCGTTCCCAAAAAATATTTACATTACAATTCCTAACAGCAGCAAAATGAAATAGCAACGAAAACAATTATGGCTGGAGGTCAGCACAACATAAGGAACAGTATTAAAGGGTCATAGCATTAGGACAATTGAGAACCACTGGTTTAATAGCTGGGATAGTGTTCAAACAATGTAAAAGTTATAACTGTTGCAAACTTTTCTGAGTTGAAGAATACAGAACAAGGTAGTTGCCTGTAAATTCCAACACTTGGGAAGCTAAGGCAGGAGGACCACTTGGACTTCAAGGCCACCAGCCTGGGCTCCATGAGCAAGACACTTGTCTGGAAGAAAGAGATGGAAGCGAGGAAATAAATAAGTGAATTCTTAAACACTCTGGGTACTGAATACAGTAGCTACTGACATGAATGAAAAAAAATACAGGTATATGTGTGTAATTATGTTAAAGAGGACCTAAGTATCATATAAAACCTTCAAGAGAGAACCACCTACCTATAAAGGAATAAAATGGAAAGCTTCCAATAAAAATTTTCTCAATGCAAACTTTTCTCAAGTTATAAAACAGATATAAAGACAAAAAGTATAACTTTTAAAAATAATTCAATTCCACATAGAACAGAAGACCTTAAAATAATATAGAATTCAGGACATTAAAAAAGAGCTAGGCACAGTCACCTAAAAATACAAGATAAATTGGAATAATCTGTATTTGCATACTAAAGGTAAAATATAAATAGGTACAGAAAAGTCAATCATAAAATTTACTGCTTCAACACACACACCCCAAAACCCAAGAGACGAGTTTGATGGGATAACTGTAAAAAGCAAAGAACACACTTACAAGCGTTCTAATGAAAGTACCAGTACAGGTGTTACTCTGGCGTGACACGATAAATACAGTTTGCCAATTAGTTACTGAGTCCAAGTGCTTTAGCCCTTTAAAAGATCACCAGATTTCACAACAGAAGAGAAGCGCTCCAATATACTGAGATTTTCACGTGCCAGGAAAATGTACAAATGTGCCTTGGAATCACCTCTTCTGGATTAAGATATCTACCTACCCAAAAGAAAACACACAGGTTGCTGAAACTCTAGTTCTGCTGTAAACCTTTAAAAGTTGCAGACCCATTTGTTAACGGACTTAAATCAAAGCAAATAAAAACTTTACAGGCCTTAGACACACAAACACGCATAATCTGGCACACAAAGGCCACCCGCAGATTTAGAATTCCTGTTTTAGAGTTGTTCTTTCAATTCTCAACCCGAAACCTTAGCTACTTTGGCCGAAAAAAGAAAGCCAAGGGTACACGCTTGGGTTCTAGGTTGCGTAAAAGTGACCTTTGGGGCGTTCAATCAACTTCTGGAGCGGCTCTAAATAGCTTTCCCAATGACTTTTGCTCCCTATCCTTGTCCGTGCTGGCCCGAGGTCGCGCTGGGCCACTGACCCAGGCTCGAAGCGGCTCAGGCTGTCGCGCTCCCGACGTCCCGCAAATAAAAAGCGGCCGGTTTTCTTTCAGGCACCGCACCGGTGAAGCCGGCAGGGCGCCCCGGGAGAGAGCTCGAGGTGGCACCGCCAGCAGATGTCAGACCCGTAGACCCGCTCGGCGCTCGCCCGGGGCGGGCGATGCTTCCTCTCCCAATAACGGCTTCAACCGCCTCCTGCCGGGTCCCTGCTCTGGCCCAAAACCCGAGTCCCAAAGGTTTCACACTCACTGGAAAGCGGGGCCGGGGCCCGTCCCCGGGCCCGAGCCGGCCCCGGGAATTCGGCGGGTCTCCCAGGGTTTCGGGGGCGGCGGCGGCTGAGACGCCATCTCTCCGCCTGCTCGGCTACGGCTCAGGGCCGCGACTGCGACGGCTAGGTGAAGGAGCGCCTCGCTTGCCAGGCACGATGGGCAGAGCGCCGAGCCCTCCACCCCCGCCCCCGCCCGACATCAGGCCAAGGATTGTGGTCGGCTTGAGCTGAGATTCGCGTGAGGAAGGGGGCATTTAATTCATGCGGGAGGGGCGTTCCTTTTTAGTTTCCCTAGTTTGGGTTTCAAAGAGTCCGGGCTCATCGACATTTCTGGCAGCATCTAATATTCCCTAGATGCCGAGTCCCACGGAGGCTGCTTTGCGGGTCGACCCTTAGGGCTAGCAGTGAAGGCCCTTGCAGTCTTGCGTTCTCGTAGCTAGCCACAGTACAAAACTGCAAGCCCGACAGCCTTACAGATCTCCCTGTAAACAAGAGGGGGACGTTCACGCATTCCTTTCGCGAAAGGCCTGGTACTTTCTTTCTAAAGCTCTCGTTTCCTGGGGGAACAGAATTGTTAGGCGCAGCAGGTGCGCTGTCTTTAGTCTTCCCCATCCCACCTACGGACCAAGGGGGTTAAATCTTGTTGGCTCCAGCATCTCGGGCGAAGGAAGGTAAGGTGAGGTATGAGGTGAGGGGTTAGGGACTGGGTGCCAAAAAGGTGTGGCTGGAATCTTGTTGGTTTGTTAACCAGGAGTGAGTGGGAAGTTTCTACAACCTTAGCAAAGACTGTGAACATTTCCCATGCCTCTCCTCTCTTGTCTCTGAGGAACCACGCTTGCGCATGTGGTAGTGCAGTTAGAAAGAACTTATGGTGTGAAACTCAGACTGTTTCAGGGTTGTTTTAAGCCCCTGTGCTTTAGTCTTTCTTCTTTTTTTCTATTATTTATTTATTTATTTATTTATTTTTTAAAAAGGGGGGGTGTCTTTCCTCTTTTCCTCTCCATTTGATGAAAGTCTTAGCCTGGTTACTTGGCCTGTGGAGAAGGGAATCAGTCCCTGTAGAGATTCTGAGGGGCTTCTGTTGCAACATTTCAGTTCAGACTGTGGAAGAAACAGCAAAAGTCTTAGCAGTGGAAATTTAGTGTGAGAAGTTCAATATCAGATCACAACTCATGACTTTTTACAAAATCCTACCATCTCATCACATCAAGATGAAATAACCATCTTTAAGGTGTATGTAGGTTTAATGTTAACATGCTCGAGGAGTCGCTGGAGTATTGCCGGGTGAGAATGGTACTGAGTCCGTTTACAGCTTCTTTCTTTATTAACACACTCATGAGGGTTTTGTTTGAGCTTTTCGAGACTTCATCCGATCACTCAGGACAGGAGGTTTGGCAATTCTCAACAGGTTTGGTAACTTTGCAGAGTCTGGAGATTGTGGTTGTTATTTATTGGCTTTGCATGATACCTTTAGTCCACTGAGCTATGGAGAATTAGCATTCAGTCTTTAAGCCAAAAGGAAGAGCCTAAATTTGAACATTGTTAAGTGAGTTTAGAGGTAAGGCTTCACTGTGAAGTGCCCTTTTAAAGAGTTTATTGATTTTTTTTTTTTTTTTTTGACGAAGGTGTATTGTTTCTTTTTTGAGTTACAGGTTAATTCTGCATTGAACCAAATGCTTGATGTTAATTAACATTAAAGTTTCTCTGTAGGTGGACTTTTGTGTCTAGTCAGCCTGCTCCCAAATAACCACACACAGACTTATTAATTATAAAAGATCAGCTGATACTTTAAGCTTGTTTTTTAGTTAGCTCTTCTAACTTAAATTAACCTATTTCTATTAATCTGTTATTATTAACATTATTATTTATTATATCATCTTATTTACTACCTATTATATTAATCTGTTATTACTATTATAAATGCTCAGCTGATAGTTCAGGCTTATTTTAGCTAGCTCTTGTATTAAATTAACCTATTTCTATTGCTCTGAATGCTGCCCCAAGGCTCATTTACCTTACGTAAGTACTTCCTATCTTGCTCTTCTACTCTGCCCTTTTTCTCTCCAGCATTCTCTCTGCCTGGAAATCCTGCCGACTCATTAGCCAATCAGTTTTTTTTTTTTTTTTAATTAACAATGAGAGCAACACATCTCAGTGTACAGAAGGATTGTTCCACAGCATTTCTCTGTTAAGGGATTCTCCCTCCCCCTCCTTCTCTCCTTACCTCTCTCCTCTCCACCTCTTTTTCTCCCTCACCAAAGTCTCACTCTGTAGTCCAGGCTGGCTTTGATTCACCATTAATGCCAGGTTGGTCTTGAATTCATGGTGACTGCCTCAGCCTCTTGTGTATTGAAATTACAAGTGTGAGATACCACACCTGGCAAGAGGATGCATTTCACATAATTCCTTTTCAGTCTTTACTTGACATTGACATAGCAGGTTAACTGAGATGGTGGAAGGGATTCAGATACTGAAGTAATACTTGATCACACAGAGTTTTGTGATTTTTTTTTTTTTTAAGCACTTTTGAAGGCTTACACAGGCAACCCTGATGGTCCCCAGGCCTGGTGTCTGAAAGCTCTTACTATCATGTCCAGAATGAGCTTGGCTTCTTTGTTCCTCTCTCCTATATCTCACATACTCACGTAGTCAAGTTTGTAGTTTAGAATATAGATACAACAAGCATTGTTGCAGAGTACGAATAGAATTTTTCAAGTGAAAGCTAGTTTTACTTCTTAAAGTCATATTTGTATGTAGCAGTAAAATACTGAAACTGCCTATTTTGTTTTTCTTTCTTCTACCTATAATTATTCAGTATGTTTCCACTGACTGAGGAAAACAAGCATGTGGCCCGGTTGTTATTCAGTTCTGGTACCTGTCCCAGATGTATCTTCAGATTCTGTGGTGTGGATCTTCATGGACCTTACAAACGCCCATCCAAGGTATTTTCTTTTTAAGTTAAGGGATATCTTTTTATAGTTTAGAATGAATGTCACTAGCTTTGAGTACAGAGGTCCATAACTCCACTAAAGAAGGGAAGTTAATAAAACTATTTCTACTAAGGTAATCTTGGAACTGCAGTTACCTTAAAAATTTGATGTAGGAATATTGTTTTTGTTTTTATTACATTACCATTTAATAGTTAGTGTAGAGAGGGATCTTTGTTGGATTTTTTTGCTATATTCATGTATAGACATTTTATAAAGGGCATTTAAACAAAATATTCAACATAATGAATGTTTCCTACCTGACATTAATGCTATGCAACAGGAGGGGACAGGTCATAGTCCTGATTTCTTTTAAATAGAAAATGAGTTGGTTACTTTTTTAAAAATTAAATTATATATATATACATATATATATGTATGTATATATGAGTATGTACATATTTATGAGTATGGGATGTGTGTGTGTGTCTTTGTGTGTGTATCTTCTCGCTCACACAGATGTATATGTGGAAGTTAGTTCTCTTCCTTCTACCATAGACCTTGGGAAATCAAGCAGTAGGCTTGTGTGCCAAGTGCTTTTATCCAACAGGCTGTGTGGCTTGTCCTGGTTATTTTTCCTGCTGTGTATTACCATATGTATATATGTGTTCATATGAATTTTTCTGGTTCTGGGCATTGAACCCAGGTCTTCACATGTTCCAGTGAATCATGTCACTGATCCATGTCCCCAGCCTACCGCTTGTTTCATTCAGTGAAGGACATATGTTCTGAGAAATGTGTCTTTTGATGACTTGTGTGAATCACTGAGTATACTTAAATGAATTTGCAGTGTTACCAGGCAGTGTAGTCTAGGACCCATCATCCACAACCAGGCAGTCTGCATTGTCAGGAATATTGTATGATACATGGATGTGTCAGGAAGCCTTTAAAAGTAAGTGCTTAACGAGAGGCAGAGCTGGGAAAAGAGAGGCTGAGGAGGCAGAGAGGTGGGGGCTGGGCAGTGCAGAGCGACCCACAAGCTCCCCAGCAACCCACAACAGGGAGGACAGGAGCCACGCATCGCCCCACCCCATGTCCCTGTCCCCGTCAGTCAGCCACACTTTCCACACTTTTGTCTGGCCTGCTAGTCAAGCGGGAGAACAGGTCTCGACTCGGGTTGTGCCCAGCCTCCCCCCCCCCCCCAAGGGCTGGCCACCATGACCAAGAAGTGGGCCAAGGCCTCCAAGAAGTCCATGGACCATCCCAAGTATTCAGATATAATTGTGGCTGCCATCCAAGCAGAGAAAAACCACACCAGTACAAGGTGGGCGAGAATGCCGACTCCCAGATCAAGTTGTCCATCAAGTGCCTGGTGTTCGCAAGCAAACCAAAGGGGTGGGCGCCTCGGGCTCTTTCATGCTGGCCAAGGGTGATGAGCCCAAGAGGTTGGTGGCTTTCAAGAAGACCAAGAAGGAAGTCAAGAAAGTGGCCACTCCAAAGAAGGCAGCCAAACCCAAAAAGGCTGCCGCCAAAGCCCTAAGCAAGAAACCCAAAGCCACCCCTGTCAAGAAGGCCAACAAGAAGCCGGCTGCCACGCCCAAGAAAGCCAAAAAACCCAAGATTGTCAAAGCCAAGCTGGTCAAGACAACCAAACCCAAGGAGGCCAAACCTGTGAAGCCCAAAACCAAGTCCGGTGCCAAGAAGGCCAGCAAGAAGAAATGACAATGAAGGCTCTGCTTGTGACACTCTTCCTCCCTCCTGTTTTCTGTAAATACATTTCTCTCTTGAGCTCATCTGCACCCTTTGCCCATTCTATTCTGACTTTATAAAAAGGACAGAGTTTGGATTCCTCAGACAGACATTGTGGAACGACTCCCTTTCCTTAACCATTGTGCAAGGACATCCACAGACATTATCTTTGTAATGATGAAGATGTACTTCTTTTCTTGATTTGATATTTAACCTTATGGGGTTGGGGTGGGGGTTTCGTTGGGTGGTTTGTTTACTGTGAAGGCAAATGGAACTGGAAAAGTTCTGTCTGGCTAGATGATGGAACCTAGGAACAGAAGTTTGCCTTTTTAGGGCTTTAAGTTGCTCATCCATCCATCCCTTGTGAGAGCTTCAGAACCGTTGGTGCAGAGCAGAGGGTGACATCCCCCTAGCTGGCCAGGGAGGGAGGAAAACTCCTGGGCTGCCCTCAGCAGTGGTGAGCAGTTGGGGACCTGGCGGCGCCTCCCCATTGTCTAGAAGGGGAAAGGGATTGCTTCTCACACTCAGGGTCTTGCCATTGGGGAGGTGGGGGGTCTTTTCAGCACAATTGATGAGTTGTGTTGTTCTTTCCTTTCCCTTCCTGTATAAGATGTGGCTTTGTTTGGTGCGGCTTCAGTTCTGTCAGCTGCCACGTAAAACCCCTCCAACCGCTTTTACCTTTTGAACCTTTTCTGAGTAGCTGAGGAGGGGGAGAGGCAGCGGGTGGACTGTAAGATAGTACAGTTGATTTGAATTTGCTAGGTAGCTTTAGAGAGCCAGGATTGTGTGCATGTGTGTTATGTATGTATCCATATCTAAGACTAGTACTTAGTCTCACTTCAGAAGCTGGGAGAAAAAAACCTGTACAGTTGTCTTTCTCTTCTTTTAATAAAATAATAAGAAACTCACACTCCTTCCTCCTTTTTAAACAAGTGTTATAATTGCCGGAAAAAAGTTGCTGTGGTTGTAGTTTTAAACTTTAAAATAATAAAACTGGGGAAAAAAGTAAGTGCTTAGTGTAATCGTTATTCCTGGTACTAGTAGCATTACAACCTTACACAATTTTTCACATTTATAATAATACACAAAGATCTGGGTGCTGAATAGAATGTTTTCATATAAAGTATAGGATATGCCTGTGACATACAGTTGATATTAACACTGAAATTCTTTTCAAAGGCCAATAATTGTATACATGTGTAAATATATACATTTATACACACATCCTCAATTTTAAAAATTGCCAATAAATGGTGCAGCAATTGCTACTGTTTTCTATATCATTGTGTTGTTTCTACTATGTTAGAAATAACAATAGTTCCCGGTGCTTGTCTAGTGTCACTACATGTCAGGTTTTCATTTAATCTTTTGTAAGTACATGCAGCGGATTATCTCAATTTTCAGACTGAAGCATAGAGAAGTTAAGCAGCTATTAAATGAGCAAGCTAGGAATTGAACAGTGTGTCTGAATCCAAAGCATACACAGCTTCAGGTTACTTCTTTGCACACCGGCATGGTGATAGGCTCACTTCACAGGCTTATGTCCAGCTTTGTGTAGTCTTCCTTATATACTTTTTCCATATACACCACACTATCTATCTATCTATCTATCTATCTATCTATCTATCTATCTATATATATATATATGTACTAGATTAAAAATACACTTGTAGAGAGAGACTGTCAGCAACTTTGACTTGTAATATTCTTGGTGAATAAATATAAACAAAATATTTGAAGGCTTTTTTGAAATTTTTTTTCAAATGCTGTATTTTTTATTATAAATCATCTTACTTTACATATCAGTCCCAGTTCCCTCTCCTGCCCATCCTCCCATCCTCCCACAAGCCCCCCATCCCTTCTCCCATCCTCTCCCCAGGGAGGGTAAGGACTTACATGAGGGATCATCAAAACCTGTCAAGTTATTCCTCCCCCGTGTGTCTAGGCTGAAAGAGTATCCCTCCATAGGGAATGGGCTCCCAAAGTTCATTCCTGCAGTAGGGATACATCTTGGTTCCACTGCCAGAGGTCCCATAGACTGCCCAGTCCTCCCGGCTGACATTCATGTTCAGAGAGGGCCTGGTTTGCTCCTATGTTGGTTTCCCAGCTGTCAGACTGGGGTCCATGAGCTCCCCCTTGTTCAGGTCAGCTGTTTCTGTGGGTTTTCCCAGCATGGTCTCGACCCCTTTGGTTATCACTCCTCCCTATCTGAAACTGGATTCCAGGAGTTCAGCTCAGTGTTTAGCTGTGGGTGTCTGCTTCTGTTTCCATCAGCTACTAGATGAAGGCTCTAGGATGGCATTTAAGATAGCCATCAATCTCATTATAGGGGAAGGGCATTTAAGGTAGCCTCTCCACTATTGCTTAGATTCCTAGTTGGGGTCTTCATCTCTGTATATTTCTCCAGTGCCAGATTTCTCTTTAAACCTATCATGGCTCCCTCTATTGATGTGTCTCTTTTCTTGCTCTCCTCTTTCATCTCCCCATTCAGTCTTCCTGGTCCCTCATGCTCTCCTTCCCCTCCTCTTCTTCCCCCCTCTTTCTCCTACTGCTCTTCCTCCTCCCCATCCCATGCTCCCAATTTGCTCAGGAGATCTTGTCCCTTTCCCCTTCACTGGGGGACCATGTATGTCTCTCTTACAGTCCTTGTTTCCTAGCATTTTTGGCAGTGTAAACTGTAGGCTGGTGATCCTTTGCTCTATGACTAAAATCCATATATGAGTGAGGATGGTTTCTTCTAGTTCCATCCATTTGCCTGCAAATTTCAAGATTCCATTGTTTGTTTGTTTGTTTTTCCCATTGTATAAATGTACCACATCTTCATCCATTCTTCAGTTGAGGGGCATCTAGGTTTCTTCCAGGTTCTGGCTATTACAAATAATGCTGCTACGAACATAGTTAAGCAGATGTCCTTGTTGTGTGAATGTGCATCCTTTGGGTATATGCCTAAGAGTGGAGTTGCTGGATCTGGAGGAAGACTGATTCCCATTTTCTGTAGAAACTGCCATACTGATTTCCAAACTGACTGTACAAGTCTGCACTCTCACCAGCAGTGGAGGAGTGTTCCCCTTTTTCCACATCCTCCTCAGCATAAACTGTTGTTGGTGTTTTTCATTTTAGCCATTCAGTCCAGTGTAAGATGGTATCTCAGAGTTGTTTTGATTTGCATTTCCCTGATGACTAAGGGTGTTGCACTTTTTGTTTTTTTATTTTACATGTCGATCCTAGTTCCCCCTCCCTCCCTCCATTCCTCCCTCCCTACCTTCCTTCCTCCCTCCTTCCCTGCCCCCTCACATGCACCCTGACCACTCTCCCCTCCCATCCACCCACCCACATTCCACATGTAGGGCTGTGCTATCCTGGAGGGGTCATGTAAATCTGTCAAGTCATTTGAAGTAGGGACTAGGACTTCTCTCCTGTCTCTAGGTTAAGAGAGTATCCCTCCTTGGGGGATGTGTCTGCAAGGTCCTTTTGTGCACCAGGGATACATCCTGGTTCCACTGTCTGAGGTCCCTTAGACTGCTCAGTCCTTCTAGCTGAGACCCATATTCAGGGGGTCTGAGTGAGTCCCATGCTGGATTCCCAGCTATCAGTCTGGGGGCCATTAGTTCCTCCTTGTTCTGGTCAGCTGTCTCTATGGGTTTCTAGTGGATTCTAGTTTGACTCAGTGTTTCGTTATGGGTGTTTGCTTCTGTACTAGATGAGGGCTCCATGATGGTGAATAAGTTAGTTGTTGATCTCACTATCAGGGAAGGGCATTTATGGTAGCCTTTCCACAGTTGTGTTGAGCACTTTCTTAAGTGGCTTTCAGCCATTAGATTCCTCTGTTGAGAATTCTCTGTGTACCCCACTTTTTAATTTAATTATTTGGTGTTTTGGTGACTAGGTTCTTGAGTTCTTTGTATATTTTGGAAATCAGCCTTTTGTCAGATGTAGGGTTGGTGAAGATCTTTCCCATTCTGTGAGCTGCTGTTTGGTCTTGTCAACTGTGTCCTTTGCCTTATAGAAGCTCCTCAGTTTGAGGAGGTCTCATTTACTAATTGTCGATCTCAGTATCTGTGCCACCTGTGTTATGCTCAGGAAGCGGTCTCCTGTGCCAATTTGTTCAAGGGTACCTCCCACTTTCTCTTCTAAGAGATTCAGTGTGGCTGGATTTATGTTGAGGTCTTTGATCCATTTGCTCTTAAGTTTTGTGCATAGCGATAAATATAGATCTATCTTCAGTCTTCTACAAGTCAGCATCCAGTTATTCCAGCACTATTTGTTGAAGATGCTTTCTTTTTTTCCATTTATAGTTTTAGCTTCTTTGTCAGAAATCAGGTGTTTATAAGTGTGTGGGTTAATGTCAGAGTCTTCAATTCAGTTCCATGGGTCTGTCTGTTTTTTTGTGCCATTACCAAGTTGCTTTCATTATTATATCTCTATATTAGAGTGTTTTTGAAATGTTTTAAGCTTTGTTTTGTTTTGTCCCATTCACATAGCTGTACATGAACACACACATGTATATACTATGTTATACTCATGTTACAGATGTTAGGTAGTAATGAACACTTGTGTGGGTCATAATATGTGTATATGTAATTTTTTGTGAGAATTGGAGTGCTAATGCATCAACAAAATGAATTTAATGTTTGAATGAAAAACATTTTCTTAAGTTAGTCTAACTGAATTCAAATGATTTATCCAACAACTAACAGTCAAACTAGCCTGATTTGGAAGAAGCCCAAGGAAAATTCTTAGCTTTAGATGTGGGAAAGCAGAAGTGTTAGAGTGTTTTCAAGGGGAAGCTTGTTTTTACATTCTAATACAAGGAATTACAGAAATTAGACAAAAAATGTAGAAGAGGCCTTCTTTTGCTTAACGTATATAAATGGATTGTAATTATGGTGCCAAATTTTGCACTGCCAAATCTATGCATCTTGGTAAATTGTCTCAAAATTTTTTTTTACTTGCTCAACCTCTAAATGATGAGGTTTCACATTAACTAATTCACTGTGCTGTGAGGTGTTAAATAACTTAGCTTGTACTTTCCTCTTTGTGTGTGTGCGTGCGTGCTGTGCATGTGTGCGTGTGTGTCTGTCTGTCTGTCTGTCTGTCTGTCTCTGTTTCTTTGTTGTTGGAGCTGGAACCAGGGACCTCATGCACGCTAAGCAGGTATTGCAGCACTAAGCTACATCTGCATCCTGGTTCTTATGTTTTAATATTTAGACTTGAATTAGTTTTTTGAATTAGTAGTTCTACCTTCCCGGTGGAACTACAAGCCAGATTTGTAAATTTGTTGATGGAGACTTTGTGCTTAAGATTAGAGTTTTAGCTTCATTGATTTGTGAAATTCTTTTCAAAAAACATTCACATATGTAATATATATATATATATATATATATATATATAATAGGTATTTGACTAGTATATAGATTGAATACATTAATAATAAATTCAAAGTCACCAGTAACACATTAGTGTTGCATTAAGGACAGAAATTGAAACTCTCCTTGGTGTCATTTAACCAAGAGGGAGTGTGAGTCAGAATCTATGCTCACCCAAAAGCTGTCCTGTAAATTTATTATCCCTATATCTGTGTTTGTCCTTATAGAGCTGTTCCTAACAAAGGGCTTTGTTCTCTTACTTTTTTTAAAATATATTTTTAAATTTTATTTTTAGTTGTGTGTGTGTGTGTGTGTGTGTGTATGCCATGGGTGTGGATGCCTATGGAGGCCGGATTCATCGGTTCCCCAGGGGCTGGAGTTACACAGTTGTGAGCCACCTGAAGTGGTCCTCTGGAAGAATAGTACATGTTCTTTACCACTGAACCATCTCTCTAACTACTTCTTTTATTGAACAGCATAGAAATCATCGCATGGAGAAGAATTGAATAGTACTTTACAGAAATATTTAACAATTTTACAAGGAGTTAATTCCAACTGACCCAGATAGCAAGCCTAACAGGCAGCACGTGAATGCTGCTTTCAGCATTTATGGTGGGCATTCATTTTATAAGGCTACTTTTAGCCTATTTGCTGTTTCTAGCAGATGATTATCATAATACACATGCAAACACATGTGCATTTCTCTTAGGTCCAGGGTATGAGAGAGTACATTAGCTTATGTTTTAGAGGGTTACTTGGGAAAGCCAAGGCAAATAAGGTTGGTTGTTAGTTGTTCCCTTAAAGGCAGGTTAAACAGATAGGCTGAGTACACAGTAGGACAGAAGTCTGAAGTGACTTCAAGGTACCTATTATCTTTGAGTTCTAGCAAAAATCCAGTGTCTTAGAATGTAAGAGATATTTCTATCACAATTCATCACTACAGGTTAGTCTCTCAGATTCCCTGGAAAGCCATTGTTGTAGTAAATTGGTTACTCCTGAAGTGAAACACCAGTGTTGTATGAGTCTGTACTGTTATAATCCTCTCCATACCTTGTTTTGAGACAGGGCCTCATTATGTAACCCTGGGTGCTTGAACTCACAAGGATCTGCTGCCACTGCCTCTAAGTGCTCTAGTGGGACAGAGGGTTGGGATCCAGGACAGGCATTGCCATGCAGGGCAGTATATGCCTTTAATCCCAGTGCTCAGACGTAGGCAGATATCTTATGTGACATCCATGTGTTACAGATGACTGAATTTCTTATTAATGCATTTAATCCACATACCAATCAAATGCCTACTTTATATGTTTTTTCCAAAAGAATTTCACAAATCAGTGATACTAAAACCCCAATCTTAAGTAGAAAGTTTCCATCAACAAATTTACAAATTTTTTGGGAAGGTCATTCACTATTAATTAAAAAAAAAAAAAAAAAAAAAAAGACATGTAGCCACACCTGACTGACTTCATCTTACGAACATCAAAACCACTTTAAAATGTTTCTCCTTTTTCTTAACTTTTCAGGAGTTGTTCAATGATCTACAGAAATTTCTAGAAACTGAAAAAGATGAATTAATTTTGGAGATTCCAAACCCACCATTGAAGAAAATCCGTCTTCAAGAAGACGGGATGGATAAATTGAGTGAAAATGGAGAGGAGGGGATCTCTGTCACGGAAGACAAAAGCATTGCTTCTGAGCCTTCAGATTTGAGTGTGTGCAACGTCTGCTTAGGAATTCTTCAAGAGTTCTGTGAGAAAGAGTTTATAGCAAAGGTAAACAATCTGTCTGTCATTGTAGATCAGAGATGGTGTTAGCCTTAACGCTAGGATTGCTATACCTACCATTCTTTTTTTTTTTTTTTTATCTTTTTTTATTTAATTTTATATAACAAAGTCCAATTAAATGAAAACAAACATTTATACACAATATTTGGGAATTTGGGCGTCGTTCTTTCCAAACTACTTCCTGCTGGTAAGGGGTGCTGTCTTGGGGGATTCGAAGAAGATTCAGATATCCTAGCTGTAGTCTGTAGGGCTGTTTTTATACCTACCATTCTTAAACAGTGTCATCCTTTTCAATTTGGTCTATACCAGTTGATCACTGAAATTTCTTCTTAATTAGAAAAGACCAACTATTCTGAAATCGCCATATCACATATTTCGAAATCAATAAGAATTTACTGACATGCAGTGTGTTGTTCTAAACCGACATGTGTGTAGGGTGAGAACTAGCAAACGCTGAATGTCACGAAGTCTGTGAAGAGTGCTCCACTCACATGCATCAGTTTTGTTTGCCTTTGTTTTGGGCAGTGCTAGAGATTGGCTTGCCAATGCTAGGCAGCACAGTGCTATAGAGCCTCAGCCCCCAGCTCCTACGTGAATATTGGGAAGTTGTGCAGTGTCATCTCCTGGGAGGAATTTTATGATGAGAGCCACATTGTCAGCAATGCTTGGAAGTTTACATATTTGTAATTTTTTTAGGTGTGTCAAAAGGTTGACGCCTCTGGGTTTGAATTCACCAGCATGGTTTTATCTGTTTCCTTCCCACCACAGCTGTCTGTGAGAGAGGTAAGGCCATTTGCACATGTCAGAGCATGTGTGAAATATATGCTGGGTATGTCTAACTTCTAAAACAAAAACAAGCGAAAAAGGGAATGTGAGCTGAACAATGAGGCTCACACTTGTAATGGCAGCACTTGGTATGAAAGTTGGCTGCTGAGGAGTTTGAGGGCACCCTGGGCATACTGTGTGTACAGGACCAAGGCTGCAGTACAGTTGCATGATGGTATGATATTCATGGCCAGAAATGCCTCAGATTCATTACACGGTTGGTTTTGAATTAATTTTGTTCTCAATTTTTTTTTTCTTGCAACCCCTCCACCTTCAGTTGCATGACCCCAGATGTGGTTGCCACCCACAGTCTTAGAAGCTGGGTTGATAAAAATGCCATTGAGCTAAAAGTACATAATTTGAGACTTTCCAAATTTTAAGTTTCTTCTCCTAGATCTTGGTTAGGGTTTCTAATGCTGTGAAGAGACATCATTACCATGACAACTCTTATAAGAAAACATTTAATCATGGTGGCTCACTTACAGTTTCAGAGGTTCAGTCCACTGTCATCACAGCAGGACATGGCAGGGTGCAGGCAGACATGGTGCTGGAGAAGGAGCTGAGAGTCTACGTCTTGAGCACGGGAAACCTCAGAGCCCACCCCCACAGTGACACACTTCCTCCAACACAGCCACATCTATGTCAAGGCCACACCTCCTAATAATGCCACTCCCTAGGGCATGGTAGCTTCTGTCCATAATCCCAGTATTCAGAAGGCCGAGACAGAAGAGTTGTCAGGAATTTGAGCCCAACCTGGTGGATTTCCTAAGCATCATTCCATAGATTTGTGTGTATTCAGTCAGGTAGGGTCTAGCAGTTTGCATTCTAACCACATTCACTGGTGCTATTGTTACAGAGACTATAGTTTGAAAAATTAACACTCTCAATTTGTTTTTACCTTTTTAGTGTGAGTATGTGTGTGCACATATGTATGTATTTAATTTTATATACATATGTGTATATGCATATATGTATGTATTTAATTTCATGTGTGTGTGTTATGTGTGTGCATATATGTATGCATTTAATTTTATGTGTGTGTATTATGTGTGTGCATATATGTATGTATTTAATTTTATGTGTGTGTGTGTGTGTGTGTGTATATATACATCTGTAGACATCCGGACAACTTGTAGTAGTAACTGATTTTGTCTTTCTACCATGTGGGTCTCAGGTATTAACTTGACAGGTGGCTTTACCTGCTGAGCCATCTTGCCAGTTCAAAATTAAAAATTTTTAAAAAATTATGTTCCTGAGAGAGGGGAGAAGGACATGGGATATACATTTTGGATAGGTGAATTCTAAACAATGCAAGAAAAACAACATAAGCATCTGGGATAAAAGAGAAGTTATAAGTCTTAGGAGGTTCAGAGAAAGCAAAAATTCAGATTTTAATCCAAACCAGACTATTCTAATCAATAAAAGAAAGTTTGGAGAAAAGTCCCCATAAAGAATTGGAAAGCTTGGTAAGGTGATTTATGCCTGTAAATGAAGCACTTGGAAAGCTGAGGCAGGGTGGCTGCTGTGAGCTTGAGGCCAGCCTGGACAACATGGGAAAAGTATCTCAAGAAATAGTAATTTAGGAAGAGTAAAAATGAGAAAGGGGATCATGAGTTCATCTTGGGTTATATAGTAAGATCCCTGTTGAGAGGGGGAGGAAGGTGAGAGAGGCATTTTTTTCTTTTGTAAAACTAAAGAAAATTATTGTGAGTAGCCTGATTGCTCAAATTGAATGATCAAGTTTTATTTTGTAAAGTTGAGGTCAGTTACAAAAAACTAAAACAAAACAAAAATCTGAAAATGACAGAGTAACATTAATGCAGATTTAAGAAGGGGGCTTAGATCTGTTCAAAAACAGCCCCTCCAGTGAATGAAGCTTGCAAGAATTGCCAAGGAAGATCTGTGTAGGTTAGGGGACAGGGGACAGGATAGGCCTGTTTGGAAGGCTAGTACACTGCAGATGGATGGTGGAGAGAAAGCCGAGTTCTGAAAATCCTATTTTGCTTCTGGCCTTTCTGTGAGGGAAATGTGATCTTTCTCAAAAACAAGAAGTTGAATGATCGTTTTAGGGAGAACAAAGGTTCCACAAAGTGAAGCTTTCCTAGGTGGGTTCCAGTGTTCTGGCTCAGCAGATTGCATTTCAAGATAGAGTTAAATCCTGCAGCTGCCTGTGACCCTCTGGGTCCTAGAAGGTGGCTCTTCCCAAGTGGTTGCAGACAAAGTGAATAATTCTGAAAACTAACAGCTGATGAGCTTACTGCAAACCTCAGTAAGATTGTGGACCAGGAACTCCAGGGGTGAACTGTGGTCACTACGCATGAGGAAGAACAACCCAGAACAAGCGTGTCTGCAGCATCTAGCAGAGCTGGTAGAGCATGGCGGCAGCAGTACCCGCTGGCTGACCACTCTTCTTCCTTATGATAACTTCCCAGAAGTGGCTGGAACACAGGCAGGGCCTGGATATGACTGGCTGGATTGTGCTGGACTGTCTGTCTCCAAAAGGAGCTAAATGAATGACTAGTGGTAAGCTGGGCAGTGTGGCTAAAGATGGCCCGAAGGTCAGCCACATACCACTGCACTGAGGGAGGTGTTGACAATAGTGGCTGGGTCTTGACTCTCCTCCCAATCCTAATCGCCAGAGGTAGGACACTGCAGTCCTTTGCTGACTCTTTCCCACCCTCTCTGAATGGTTTCTTGTAGAGAAAGAATGGTGAGAACCCTCACTGTGAGCTACATGGCACAAGCGTGCAGCCCACATCCCGAATGTCATAGTTAATACAGAAGAGCTTGTGAACAAGAACAGTCAAAAAGATGAAATAACAACAATAAGTATCGGTTCTTTTGCTTGAGTTTAAAAAGCAGCTTCCAAGTAAAGGAATACATGTTAACAGAGGCATCTCAGGAATGTAGGTGAGAACTGGTTAGGCAGACAATGAGCTAATTGGATGATGCCAAGTGGGGTACAGTGTAGATAATGTTTAGGTCTCAGCCAATCTGTGATGAAAGGGGGGCAGTTGTGTTTGTTTAATGCTCCCGTTGTTAGATTTCTGCTTGAGAAGGAAAAGACAAGTGAGACAGCACCTTGGCTGGTCCATACTCAGAAGGTAGATTCAGGGTGGAAGTAATTCTCGTCCCAAAGGACTTAGCCAGAGAGGGTAAGTTTCCTAAAACAGATGAAACCGAGGGCAGTGACCACCTGGCAGGTAGAAGGGAAGTAAAGCCCTTCCAGCTGTTTTAACACTATTGCCTTCCCTCTCCTGGTAAGTCTACATCTTTTCAGTACAGTTTAAGAGAATGATTAACGATTCCAGTCAGTGAGCTTGGTGAGCCAGGAATTACTTACAGGCCACTGCGAAGGCCACCTCAGCAAGAATGGTGACTCATGAAAGCTGCACCATGGAGTCCCTGTACAGCCTGTACCCAGCTGCTCTACCTCAGAGCCTCTTGTCTCATGAATCTATAATTTTTGTGAGCTTCCTTGAGTTTACTGTCCCTCCCACCCCCCTTGGTTTTTTGAGACAGGATTTCTCTGTAGCTTTGGAGCCTGTCCTGGAACTCACTCTGTAGACCAGATTGGTCTCAAACTCACAGAGATCTGCCTGTCCCTGTCTCCCGAGTGCTGGGATTAAAGGCGTGTGCCACCAACGCTCTTCTAAATTCACTGTTTCTTTTAAAATATTTAGCATGTGTATGTATGTGTATGCATATATCATATGTCACAGGTGTGTGTGTGTGTAGCACATGTCACAGGTGTGTTGTGTATAGTATATGTCACAGGTGTGTGTGTACCATATGTCACAGTGTACCTGTGGAAGTCAGGAGTCTGTTTTTTCCTTAAAATGCATGAGTACTAGAGCTCAAATATTGTTAGGGTTGAACATGAGCCTTAAGAGTGTCTGTCCCTTCTGGGACAGAATGTTTCAATGTAGAGGAAATGGCTACATAATAGTGTCCCCTTTCTGCTGGCTTTCACACCCTTTGCCCCTTCCTCTCTGATGTTCCCAGACCTTGATGGGGAGGAACAATGTAAATGTGTGATTATTGTCCTGTTTCTGGCTGAGCCTTTGGTCACTATGCCACAGTAGTAGACAGTTACTCTCAGACATTTGACTATTGAGTTGCTGCAATAACCATCTCCCAAAAGAGAACTTTTCTTTCATTATTGAGGCTGAGTGCAGCAGCAGTCTGAGTATATACACAAATGTTTGGAAATCAATCTGATACACATATCACATCTGTTTAATGAAACAGTAACAACTCCCCATTGTAGCCTTTGTAGCCTGTGACCGCAATCACAAGTGTTTGTCCTCGGCCTGCAGCATGGTACATGGTTCCTACCTGTGATGTGAGGCTTAATCCAGTTGGGCCTTTGCTGCTGCTGTTGTCCTGCATTTGTGATTGGCTTCTGTAAAGCCACATCATAGCACTACCCTGAAACTGCTAATGGTGGAATGCCCCAGACTAGTATTAGGCTAAATAAACTGTCTTGCTAATTCTTTGAGGTTTATCTTTACCAGTTGAGTCCAGCAGAGGGCGATATTGTACCACCAGTTTGGTTTATTTCCCATTGCTCACCCTAGTGACCTAATTAAATGAATTATACTGTCTCATAAATGTTATTCTGATCATATGAAACATCTTGCTTCTCAATATGTAGTATGGTATGGCTGGAGTCTTGTTTGTCATAGCAAAATATTCTATTTCTTTTCTCCATGCTTTGTATTAAATACCAATTCTGTAGCAGTACTTTTTTTTTTTTTAACTTAAGAAGTTACCTTTTCTTAAAATTTTATAAATGGCTGTGAGGCCAGTGCTTTCTAGGGCTGTGTAGTGATGCCTGCACTAAACCAGACGAAGGAAAAAGATAGAGAATGCACATTCAGTTTTGCAGGTATTTACAGATCCTAGGACTTTTCTGAATTGGATTCTTCAGGAAAATCAACCCCTATGCAAATGTC